TTAACTATAAAAATATCTTTACATGTGAAAAGAAGTTCAACATTCCTAATCATTAAAGAGATGCAAATCCAAACCCCAGTGAAATACTTCACATCCATTAAGATGGTGGTTTTTCAAACAGAAGAAAACAAGTGTTGTCAAGGGTGTGGAGCAAATGGAGCCCTTGTGCTTTGCTGGTGGAAACAGTTGAAATGGTGCAGCCGCTGTGGAAGACAGCATGGCGGCTCCTCAGAAAATTCTACACAGGGGCACCTAGGGGGCTCAGTCGGTTAAGCGACCAACTTCCGCTCAGGTCATGATCTCGCAGTTCATGAGTTCAGGCCCCGCGTTGGGCTCTGTGCTGATAGCTCAGAGCCTGGAGCCTGCTTCAGATTCTGTGTTTCTGTTTCTCTCTCTGCCTCTCCCCTGCTCATGCGCTCACACACGCGCACTCTGTCTCTCTCTCTCTCTCTCTCTCTCTCTCAAACAAATTTAAAAACATTAAAAAAAATTAAACATAGATTCACCCTATGATCCAGGGGCATCACTTCTGGGTATGTACCCACACAGATTGAAGAGGGACCGGAACAGATATTTGTACACTCGTACTTATAGCAGCATTTTTCACTGTAGCCAAAAGGTAGAAACAACCCAAATTGTCCACGGATGGATGAGTGGGTAAACAAAATGTGTATACACACCGTGGGGTATGATTTGGCCTTAAAGAGGAAGGGAATTCTCGGGGCCCCTGGGTGGGCTGAGTTGGTTAAATGTCTGACTTTGGCTAAGGCCACGGTCTCTGTCTCACGGTTCATGAGTTTGAGCCCCGTGTCAGGCTCTGTGCGGACAGCTCAAAGCCTGGAGCCTGCTTCCCTCTCTCTCTCTCTGCCTCTCCCCTACTCAAACTCTGTCTCTCTCTCTCTCTCTCTCTCTCTCTCTCTCTCAAAAGTAAACATTAAAAAAAAGGACATTCTGACACCTGCTGCAACGCAGATGAACCTCGAAGACATTGCACTGAATGAAATAAGCCAGACACAAAGGACAGATGTCGTACAAATTCCGTTTACAGGAAGTTCATGGAACGGTCAGAGTCCCAGAGACCGAAAGTAGAGTAGTGGTTACCAGAGCCTGGGCGCAGGGGGCGGGCCGGCGGAAGGGGGAGCCAGTGTGGAGCAGGTACGCAGCCTCGTTTGTACAGGATGAGTGTGCATCAAGCCACTGCACTGCACGCTCAAAGGGGTAAGATGGGAAATGTATGTTTTACCACAAGAAATCTTCGCTTTGATGCTGTGCTTGACATTGAATGTGCCACCCACGGCGCGTGGTACGTGGGTGTGTGTGTGGGGGTGTCTGTGTGTGTGGTGGTTGTCAGTTCTACACATCATCCAGCTTGGGGCTGAGAACCATAGGGATTATGGAGTCGGTCTTGGTCTTTGTGGAGTGAAGGGGCCTCACGTTGTTGGGGTAACTAGCGGCTTTAGCTGGGACTTGGGTTCGCTGGTCTGCACGTGTTCTTAGGTGTGTCCAGGAGACTGTTATCGGCACCCGCCCTGGGGCGGGCATGGTGGCCGTAAACCTGAAAAGACACATCCATGCACCCAAGGAACTCCACTCCAGAACTGGACCTGAGTCAGTGACCAGACTGGCACTTCCATCGCCCTGAATCTGCTTGCGCGCGTAAGTGAGACCAGTTTTCAAACAGTAAAGGCTTGAGCTTTCCGTTGCGTTCCTAGTGTCCCCAGACACTGGCCGCTCCTCTGGGGGATCAGCTATGTCACTTCATTTGACAGCACAATTAAGCATTTAATTTTTTTGTTTTGTTTTTATTTAGAGAGAGAGAGAGGGTGTGTGCCCGTAAGCAGAGGAGGGGCAGAGGGAGAATCTGAAGCAGACTCCACGATCAGCACGGAGCACGACTCAGGGCTCGATCCCACGACCCTGGGATCATAACCTGAGCTGAAACCAAGTGTCAGACCCTCAACCAACTGAGCCACCCAGGCGCCCCTAAGTGTTTAATTTGTTTTTAATTTTTTGAATTATTTTTAGAAGAAAGTGTACAGAAAATATCACTGTATCCACAGTACAGATTTAATGTAATCTTTTGCCGTATTTGCTTCAGATCTCTATTATAGGAATGTGATGGACGTTGCTCCATCCCATTCTCGTCTCCCCGAAAGCAATCAGTCCTTGTGTTTTTGTGTAAAGTGACTAAAGTGTAAAGTGGTGTCTCATGGTGTTCAAGTGCGTTTCTTGACTATTGATGAGGTTGGTTATTTCATTTTAGCAGCTGTCAGGGCCTCCTCTAAATGGTCTCTTCCCTTTCTCATTTATGTCGGGATGCTGGTGGTTTTCTTAGTTTAGTTCTTTATTCTGATAATCATCCTTTATCTGTTCTCTTTTCTTCCTGTCTGTGGCTTGTTTTTAAGCTTCCTTTATATGATATCTTCTGTCATACAAGTGTTTTCAATATTAACATAGCCAAATATATCAGCTCTCAGAAGATGAGAGCCCCAGGTCATAGAGACAGCCTCCTGTATTTCCTTACCGAGCTTAAAAAAGTTTTACTGGGGCACCTGGGTGGCTCAGTCAGTAAAGCCTCTGATTCTTAATCTTGGCATGGGTCACGATCTCATGCTTTGTGAGATCGAGACCTATATCAGACTCTGTGCTGACAGCGCAAAGCCTGCTTGGGACTCCTTCTCTCCCTTTCTCTGCCCCTCTCCCGTTTGCGTTGCTTGCTTGCTCACTCTCTTGCTCTGTCTCACTCTCTCAAAATAAGTATCTTTTTAAAAGTTTTACTTTTCGGGGCGCCTGGGTGGCTTAGTCGGTTAAGCGTCCGACTTTCGCTTAGGTCATGATCTCGCGGTTCGTGGGTTCGAGCCCCGCGTCGGGCTCTGTGCTGACTGCCAGCTCAGAGCCTGGAGCCTGTTTCGGAGTCTGTGACTCCTTCTCTCTCTGACCCTCTCCTGCTCACGCTCGCTCTCTCTCTCTCTCTCTCTCCTAGAAATAAATAAAACATTTAAAAAAAAAATTAAAAAAAAAAAGTTTTACTTTTCATAACTAGGTATTTAATCCATCTAGAACTTATTTTCACATATGAAAGAAAGTGGGGATCTACTCATATTTTTTCCATATGGCTGGCCAGTTGTCCCAACAGCATTTATTAGCTAGTCTCTCCTTTTCCACTGGCTTGTGATGCTCTTTCTTACCAACGAGGATGCAAACATATTTTTCAAACCTGATGTATAACTGAGCGTGAGTGCATCAGATTGAGGGCTGAGCAGTTGTCAAAAAAGCATTTCACACAAACCCCCCTAGACCATTAAGAGAGCTGATTCTTTTACACTGTGACCGTTATGCGATAGAAAAAAATGGTATGATGCACTCAGAAGGTATTCCAGGTCTCGCAGAGAATGCCTTGGAAGCCAGGTTGTGTGCGTCCTGGCTTCTAGGTGTGGGTCGCGGTGAGGGCCTTCCCGGGCAAGAAGGGAGTGGTCTGCCCCCTGGTATATCCTGTCCCTGAAGGAAGCAGGACCGATGCAAGAGTGAATGGTGAGAGATTTGCTGATAAGCGATAATCTGTCTTTTAACTTGGTCTCATTTCCTTGTTAAATGACTAGAAGCTCATTCATCTCTTTGAATTGGTTATTACAAAAGCTAGTTTTTGTAGCACATGCAAAAACCAGTGGGGGAAATTGTGACAAACCAGGGTTGCAGACAGTCGCCTGGTTGGCTCAGTCCGTTAAGCGTCTGACTTGATTTCAGCTCTGGTGAGCTCACGGTTTGTGAGATCGAGCCCTGCGTCAGGCTCTGTGCTGACAGCTTGGAGTCAGCTTGGGATTCTTTCTCTCCCTCTCTCTGCCCCTCCCACGCTCACTCTCTCTCTCAAAGTAAATAAACATTTTTTAAAAAAATAGTTTAGGAGCGCCTGGGTGGCTCAGTTGGTTAAGCATCTGACTTCAGCTCAGGTCATGATTTCCCAGTTCATGGTTTCGAGCCCCGCGTCAGGATCTGTGCTGACAGCTCAGAGCCTGGAGCCTGTTTCAGATTCTGTGTCTCCCTCTCTCTCTGACCTTCCCCTGCTCATGCTGTCTCTCTCTCTCTCTCTCTCTCTCTTTCTCTCAGAAATAAGTTTTAAAAAAAAATTTTTAAAAAGCATCACACCTTTAAATGCTTCTTTAAAACCATTTCACCAAGAGTGAAATGATACAAATGCAATATAGGAAGATGCCGTATGAAATGATTCTGGAGGGTCTCCAGTGTGAAGACTGTAAGTTAAGGAAATGGAAAGCAAGGGTGGAAGGAATCCTTAGAGACTTCTTATTTGTTGTGATTAACGCAGAGGAAACAATGATAAACCATAATTGCTGGTCATAATAGATAAGTGGTATGAACGTCATCATGCATATAAATTAATAGTGTAACTAACCCTAGGTCCCCTTGAAAACAAGATAGCATTTTCTAATGCCTCTTCTCTCTCTCCCCACCCCCAAAATATTGGTTCTGTCCTACAATTTCACACTGTATTTCCAGTCGTTTTCTACTAAATGAGCTGTGTGGCCTCTGGACTCCGCTCTAGCTCCGGCTGGAGGTCTCGAAGAGAACGACAGGCTGTACTCAGGACTCCGTGTGGACATGTCGTCCCCGGCATTTCCAGTGTCTACGTAGGCTTAGGGGTGCCACGGTCACCAAGGTCCAACGTGCCACATCCCAGTTACGCACTCCCTTTGACTACGGGCACTTCCAGAGCCGCTCGTGCACTCACGGGCCCTGGGAGCTTCCTCTGGGGGGTGACAATGTGGTGTAGTGGTAAGAGCGAACACGCTGTTGGGGACCTTAGCCCCTTTTCAAATGGCGACTTACTATGAAGACAAATGACTTTTTTCTTTCAGTCATTGTGTAGCAGCCCTCGTTCGGAATCGGCGCTGGGACTGAGGAGCTTCCCCCAGAGACTAGCTAACCGTGGATTCGTTGACCCCTGTGCGGAAGATCTAATTCTGAGTGTGTTTCCTCTTTTTCAGATCTCAGTCACGGTGGATTGGCAGATCGCTATGACGGCTCCCGCTGGGGGCAGCAGCCCACTCACGGAAGCGAAGCCGGCTGCGGCTGGGATAAAGTGATCGTCGACAGGACTGACGAGGAGGCGTGGCCTTCCGTCACCGGGGCAGAGACGGAATCTGCCTCAGAATGCAGTACAGACACTGACTCTGCCTCCAAGTGCGGCTCAGAGAACAGTAGCATGGCTACAGGGGGCGCCCAGGGCACCTTCGCGGGGCGTGCCAAGAAGACAGATGGCAGCGACGGCACCAATGGTGCGCTCGTCCAAAGCCCTTCTAACCAGAGCGCCCTTGGGGCAGGGGGCGCAGCCGCTCATGGAAACGCAGCCCGGGTGTGGGGCGTAGCCACGGGCCCCGGCTCGGGCCCAGCCCACAGCTCCCTCGGCGGTGGGGATGGAAAGATGGACAGTGCGATCGGGGACGGGAGAGGTCAGAATTGCTGGGCTGCTTCCAACCCCAGTGCCGGCATCAACCTTAACCTTAACCCTAATGCCAACCCAGCTGCCTGGCCTGTACTCGGACACGAAGGAACTGTGGCGACAGGCAACCCTTCCAGTATTTGCAGTCCGGTCAGTGCCATAGGTCAGAGTGCGGGCAACCAGAACGGGAACCCGCCGGGCACTTTAGGTGCTTGGGGAAACTTACTGCCGCCCGAGAGCACAGAACCACAGACGCCCGCTTCTCAGAATGTGTCTTTCAGCGTACAACCTCAGAACCTTAACACTGATGGACCAAATAACACTAACCCCATGAACTCTTCACCAAACCCTGTCAATGCAATGCAGGCAAATGGACTGCCAAACTGGGGCATGGCTGTTGGTATGGGGGCCATCATCCCGCCCCACCTGCAAGGCCTGCCTGGTGCTAACGGATCTTCGGTTTCTCAAGGCGGGGGCAGCGGCGGCGAAGGACTCAGCAGTTCGGTGTGGGGCCTGTCCCCGGGCAACCCCGCCGCAGGAAGTAGCAGTTCTGGGTTCAGTCAGGGGAGTGGAGACACTGTGAACTCGGCGTTGAGCACTAAGCAGAACGGATCCAGCAGCGCTGCGCAGAAGGAAGGAAGTGGGGGAAACGCCTGGGACTCGGGCCCTCCTGCCGGCCCTGGACTCCTTGCCTGGGGACGGGGCGGCGGCAGCAACAGCAGCGTTAGTCACATCCACTCGGGGGCTTGGGGCCACCCCAGCCGAAGCACCTCCAACGGGGTGAACGGGGAATGGGGAAAGCCCCCAAACCAGCATTCCAGCGGTGACGGCAGCGGGAAGGGATCGGCGGGGTGGGACGGCCCGGGCGGCAGCAGCCAGAGCCCTGCCCCGCAGCCCGGCAGTGAGCACATGAACTCGTGGGCCAAAGCCGCGTCTTCTGGAACCACGGCAAGCGAAGGAAGTAGCGATGGTTCCGGCAGTCACAGCGAAGGGGGCTCTGGGAGGGAAGGGGCCGAAGGCCGAAGGCGAGACAAAGGGATTCTAGACCAAGGGCACATCCAATTGCCAAGGAACGATCTTGACCCCAGAGTCCTGTCTAATACTGGCTGGGGACAGACTCCGGTGAAGCAAAACACTGCCTGGGAATTTGAAGAGTCCCCGAGGTCCGAGAGGAAGAATGACAATGGGACAGAGGCCTGGGGCTGTGCGGCTCCTCAGCCTTCACACTCAGGGGCGAAGAGTGATGGGTCCATCGTGAGCAGTACAAATACCTCTTCGGTGTCCGGGTGGGTCAGCTCCCCGCCTGCTGCCGCGCCGGCCAGCACAGGCTGGGGGGACAGCAGCAACAAGGCGCCGAATGGCCCGGGGGTGTGGGGGGACTCGATAAGCTCTCCTGCTGTTACAAATGCTGCTGCCGCCGCCAAGAGCGGCCACACCTGGAGTGGGACCGGAGGCCAGGAGGACAAGTCACCCGCCTGGGGGGAGCCTCAGAAACCCAGGTCTCAAACCTGGGGAGACGGACAGAAATCCAGCCCGGCCTGGAGCGCAGGAGGGGGAGACTGGGCGGACTCGTCGTCTGTCCTCGGACACTTGGGGGACGGGAAGAAAAATGGCTCTGGATGGGATGCCGATGGCAACCGGTCAGGGTCTGGTTGGAACGACGCTGCCAGGTCTGGGCCCAGTGGCTGGGCTAATGGCACAAACGCCAAGGTGAATCCAGGGACAAACTGGGGAGAGTCTTTAAAACCTGGCCCCCAACAGAACTGGGCGGGCAAACCCCAAGACAGCAATGTGAGTAACTGGGGAGGAGCCGCTTCCGTTAAACAGACAGGGACCGGGTGGGTTGGGGGTCCGGTCCCTGTCAAACAGAAAGACAGCAGTGAGGCCACGGGCTGGGAGGAGCCTTCTCCACCATCCATCCGGCGCAAAATGGAAATCGATGATGGTACCTCAGCTTGGGGTGACCCGAGCAACTACAATAATAAAACTGTAAACATGTGGGACAGAAACAACCCGGGCGTGCAGAGCAGCACCACGGCCGCCGCCACCACCACGAGCAGCAGCACGGACGCGGTCGAGACGCCGCCGTCGCACCAGGCCAGCGCCCAGCTGAGTCGATCGCCGCTGCTCGGCCCAGGTATGGCAGGCACTGTAGGTAGCTCCAGAAGGTGCACAGAGTCATTCGTTCTTATGACACGTGTAAACGTATCCCCGGTGGTGGTTTTACGTAGCCACGGACGTTGATTTGAGTGCCCCTTGCCCTGTAGCATTGTACTTACGTGTTATCCCCGGAGAATAAATGCAGTGGGATTCTCCAAGAGCTAGGTACTAGTTCCCAAGAGAAAGGTCCTCGGCACTTGCGGCGTTAGGGAGAGTAGGGAAGAAGTACGCCGTCTTCGGGAAAAGACTGGGGCCCATTGTGTTAGCTGGCATTTCCTTATGGGATGGGCCGGTCGTCCTCGAGCCCCGCCTCGGTCAGAAGTGCTTGTGGGCTGGGGGACCAATCGCCGGGGCCTCTGGCAACGTGGGTCCGCGGGGACCCTGCTCGCCGGTAGCTTCAGAGCTCTGCAGACATTCCCGATATGTGGTTGGTGCCAAAATAAAATCGTTCGCGGGGCACGAGTGGCGTTGTACAGTACAAGGCGCGTTGTGATTCCAGTCGGAAGAAAAGTCCTAAAATTAGACTAAACGTTGGGTTTAGAGTTCCTGCTTTGTGCAAGGACTGCGCTGGACAGGACGAAGTCCCCGACCGGAGTCCTCCACCAGGGAGCGTGACTCGTGACAGGATGAACACGCGGCCCACACTGCACCGCGTGGGATCCAGATAAGGTCCAGCCGGGCTTTGTGCCGGGAGCGGGCTGCAGCGCCGCCTCCTAACTAAGATGTCAGCACGTGGCGCGGGGTCCGCCTGCGTGGCGAGTGAGAGCTGGGCCCTCAGATCACAGAGCCCCCAGGCACAGAAGACCCAGGAGGAGAGCGCGGTCCAGGTCAGGGCCCCGTGCTCAGGCTTCCCCCTCCTCTCCGCCAGGGCCCCCACACGGTACCGGGCGGGGGTGGGGGGCGCTTCCCTCCTGCTGCTCTGGCTGTCCTGTCTTCTTAGCGCCGCCGCCAGCCTCCCCTAGTTTCTGTAGTTGCTTGTGTGCTGTCGCCCTGCGGCTGCGCCTGTTCACCGCAGAACTGCAGCGGCAGCCCCTCGCCCGCTCCGTCCACCCGTGCTCCGGGCCGTCTTCCTGGCTCCTCACCGCTCCTCCTCGTAGTCCTGGTTTTAAATTCCTTTTTGTCGTCTTCTGGAAAAGCTGTAGCTGGCGAGGAGGGTCTTTGAGCCCAGAACTGATGTCACTGCTTTACACGTGTGGCTTGAAGGAGCGCAGAATTAGGTGAGACTAACTTCCCTCCTAAGAGTCCCACGCCTCGTGATGCGCTCTACGTTTCGTGTAGCCTTTTGGAGCCGTGTCCCATTATTCTTCCTAAATTCAGCTGTAAAATTTGCAATATTTCTTTCATTAATGAAGCCCTTCCTTGCTCAGGACTATTCCTTGTGCACTTGGCCCCTTCGTCCCCAGTGTAGAACTTTGCCCCCAGTAAACTTTGGATTCCAGTCCCCTAGGCTGTTGGGACCTTTTTGTATCCCGATTCTGTAATCAGCATATATCGGTTTTTCTATCCAGTTTTGTACCCTCCCTAAGTTTTTATAAACATGCCATGAAGACAGCACTAATGATAAGACAGAGTCCTTTCTCCACGGAACTTGCATCCAGAATCCGACACAAGGGAGTCTGGAAAGTGACACGTTTTAACCGTGAGCCTCTGTGACAGAGGAAGGCTCGTAGAGGCCATAGGATGGATGCTCAGTGCCTGTTGGCTCCGTCATATGCAGAGATGTGGGTTTAAAAAAGATTGCTCTGCCCACCAAACACCATTGAAACAGATATGAATGGAGAATCACTGGTGCCCCGCCCCCACCAGGCACCATGCTCGCATACCCATCTACGTCAGTGCTTCTAGAACTAGTACCTTTATCCTTATTATTTGACATATGGTCATTGGAAATACATCGTAGGGCACTGTTGTGTGCCAGGCGTGGAAGATGGGCGCTCCGCCCTCTTTGAACCTCCATGTGGACAGAAAGACTAGTACAGCGTGGTGCCCGATTGTCCTGAGCAGGAAAGTATGACATGTAGGACGGCACCTAGCCAGGGTTTTAGTCACAAGGGGTTGGGGGTGCACAGACCTTGGGTCAGAGTGCAGAGGAGTGTCTTGTGGGGGGGCCTGCGCCCGGGGAGGGCGGCATGCATGAGCAGCATGAAGATGTTTAGAGGGGTCTGTGGTGGGGTAAGCGGTGGGGTGACAGGAAGGCCACACAGAGAGAAGCTGGAGAGGGGCCACAGCCTCTCAGGCCCCTGGAGGAGCCCAGTTGTGGCCGGAGGTTTCCGAGAGGTTGGTGAGACGTTTTACAGATTGAATGATCAAACTTACTTGTAGAATCGTTCCAGCTACAAAATAAAGTGGGAAGCAGAGCTGACGAGGAAGAGCCAAGCTCGGCCAGTGTCTTGATGGTGATAGTGGCCTGGACTGGGACGGTGGCGGCCAGTGACACAGAGGCGGCAGCAAAGCTTGGAAACCGGGTGTGGACGCAAGGACGAAAGCTGAGCACAGGGTCAGAGCTCTGGCCAGCGGGCCGGCAAGCACGTCACTCACCGACTCACCCTGGAGCACAGCGGGCTGCATCCGCCCCGTGGAGAAGTGGCAGAGGATGGTTGTAGAAGCCGGTCCCGGCCACAGCTTGGGCAAGAGGCACAGCTGTGGGAGCATGGCAGAGGAGAGGCCAAGGTCAGGAGAGGTTTTGTTCAGACGGTAGAGCTCAGAGCCTGTTAAAGGAGCCAGTAGAGAGGGAGAATAGACGGAAAGGGAGGAGCTCCCTGTGTCCAGCCGGGAGGAGGCGGATGTCTGTGACCAGAGGGTGACAGACGCCTTCCGGGACTCTTTTTCTCTGAGAGTATCAAGGAACCCAGCCTCAAGTGCAGACGGGCCGGGCATGGGCACAAGTGTGAACAGAGGCGAGGTTCGCGTTCGCCCACGTAGGAGATTGAGCAGAGGGCTGAGCAGGGGTCCCCAAAGAGCTGCTGGGCAGCATGGGGGACCCGGAGGTCACAGTTTCACAGTAGATGAACATTTGTCTACCCAACGTGTGTTTACTAGGACCCACTGTGCGCCGGGTAGCGCTCTGGTTTTGGGGGACAGCAGCAAACAGAACAGGCAGAACGCTGTCCTGGTGGGGGTGCAGGCTGAGAAGGAGGGCCCAGGCGTGTGGACTGGCCAGCGTGTATGCAGGGTGTTGGTGGTGCAGAGGAAGAAGCCGGGCAGGGGTGCGGGGGGCAGAGACCGTCCTCTCGTGCAGGGCAGCCGGGCACGTGAGCAGCTGTTTGGTCTTCGCTGTAAGCACCAACCGAGCAGCTGGAGGGAAGGAGGGCTGCCTTCCCTTCTGCGTTCAATCCAAACCCCCTGCCCTCCAGACCCCTCCCCGCGCCGGTTGACCCGCCGGATGTGACCTCCACAGCCTCCTGAGGGTCCTCAGCGACACACTCTTACTTCTCTGAGCCGCCGTACCGGGAATCCTGTATGGAGCTCAAGACTGTTGTAGCCTCTGCAGACACGCCTGTGCCCCGAATGGAAGGTCAGACACCCGGTGGGCTGCGGACGGCACTGCGTCCACAAATGTGCCCTTGTCAGCCCCCATTTTTCATATGAATCAACATTTATAGTGAAAACGTTTTATATAAGTTTCCAGATCTGTGGCCCCTTGAAATCCCGGAAGGCCTGACACGTTGGATCCAGACGGCAGCAGTTGGCTCGAGTGGCCGCCTGGGAGGCCTGAGCAAGGCCTCCCCCGCTGAGGCCTGGGCCCCTGGCATGGTCACCCTGCTGTGCGTAGGATCTTTTCACGGGGCCTGTGTACAGAACCGGCTGGCTCTCTGGGCCGTTGGAGTTTGGGACTCCTGTTTCTTTCTAGGACATGACTGACATTGCTAAGTGCTTTTACATGTTATATAAAGAACTTGAAGGGGTGAGGAGAAGCGAGAAAGAAGCAAGAGAACTGATGCCGGAAACGGGAGGATACCGACGTGGAGGCGTCGTGCAGCCTGGGGGCAGAGGGGACGCACTACGTCACAGTGTCTGCACGGCGATTAGCCTCCGAGCAGATATTTGTAGTCTGAGAAGAACCGGTGCTTAAAAATAGCCGTCATGGGCGCCGGGCCGGCTCCGCGAGTAGCCCGTGTGACTCTTGGTCTCAGGGTTGTGAGCTCGAGTCCCATGTGTGGCGTTGCATTTACTTAAGAAAACTACAAACAACAACCACAACAACTGTCCTCTCCCACCCACCCAAGCCCTCTGGGACTCTCACCCCTCCTCACGGGTCACAGTTGGAGTCTCAGTGTCGGTGCCACCTCGTTCTGCTCCGGGTCTTCTGGAAGAGCTCCTGCCGCAGCACGCCCCTGGGCCCTGGGGTCCAACCCTGCTGGAGGCCACACGCGGTGCCTCTGCGCACACCCTCTCCTGTAAGCTCGCGGCCGCGGGCCTCAGTTTGCGGATGGAAAGTGGCTGATGGAGGGCGCGTGCGTGGTGAGGTCCCGGGTGTGCGTACCCGCCTTGCCCGCTGCCGTTCCTGCGACCCTGGGTCTGAAACGACCCACGGATGTTGGAACCGTGTCGCGTTAGGGATTTTTCCCCTCTGGTGTGTGATTACCCTTAGGACTACTTTTACCAGGTGTCGGAGACAGACTGAGAGCTCTGCCCCGATAAGGATGCTCTTGCGTAGTATGAAGAGCCCAAATCGTTCTCTTCTGCATGGAAAATATCTGTAGGTGATTTTTCTTTAACAAGTTGCACGTATTATCACCGAGTGGGAAAGAAGGGGAAGGCGCTCCGTGCAACCATAGCGGCGGTTTGCGCATCCCCCGTCTCCCCTGCGGCCGTCAGGGTCGTGGTGCCGGAGCAAGAGCGTGGGAGCCGTGGGGAGCTTGTCGTGCCTGCTAACGGAGACGGACAGGAGGGGAGGCGGCGTCTTCCGTGCAGTCCACCCTCGTGCAGAAACTGCCGGGCTCAGCGGTGGCAACGTGTGACGGGGCTCTGTACCAC